ATACATATACATATATGCACACACACACACACACACTCACACACACACACAATGGAATTCTATGTCTCCATCAATTATAGTAAGTGAAGTAAGCCAGACCCAAAGAAACATAGGTCCATGGTTTTCCTTATTTGCAATAACTAATACATGTGTAGGACAAACAGAAAAGGCCAAAAGATAGGTACATATGACCATATAAGATGATGCTGAGTGAGATGAACCCCAAGATAAGGACACAAATATCTTTTTTTCTTTCTTGCTATTGTTTCTAATGTATTTATAATGTACAATGTAATTTTTTTTGTTTCATTGTATGTTCCCCCCCATGGTATAACCCCCGTTTTCACTGTATTTGATGTTGGTGCCCTGCATCTTGTATATACACTTCTCTAATTCGGGGAAAGGAAGGGAAAAAAACAAAATGCTTAAATAAGGATACAGGATGACCCATTGTAACATTGAGATGTACAAGACACTATGTTGAAAACGAACTTTACAACATCGGTTGGGGGTGGGGGTAGTAGTTGAGGTGGGAGGGAAGGGATGGTAGGGGGAAAACAAAGGAGGAGGCAACAATGCTCAATGGGAAATATACTCATTACCATGATTATATAATATAACCCCTCTGTACAGCATTTTTACAATAAAGTACAAAAAAGAAAGAAAGTAAGGCTGTCTGGTTCATAGTGATTGGACCACCCATTCACTCCTAAGCATGTCTATGGGCCTTCTGCCTTCAGGCCCACCTTCACTGGAATTTACAAGATCTGAGTCAAAGAGCAAATTTCAGTTTCTTGTAGCATGGGGTCTTTCCTTTAAATGAAATACTAATTGGGTTTCTATGTATCTAAGCTAAACAGTCCAAAATTCTATTACCTAACCTGGCTCTAAGACTGATATTTTCAGGTATTTTAGGCTGCATTGTGCAACTATAGTACAACTATTGTACAACTATAGTATGCCCTGGTAACTTACAATAAGCAAACTGTTCTAAAAAGAAATCCTAAATGGAATGCAAACATCACTGAATTATTTTGTGCCATTTTAAAGCTTATCTCATTTGCCTCATCTAAGCTTATTAATGGATGTGGATTTTTTTAAATAAACACCATTATTTCAATTAGCTAATGTTTGTCTTCATCTTGGTCTCAAATGGTCCTAACTTGGCTAGTTAGAATCTCTTTAAATGGATTACTTTATCCTGATGTACTGATCTTGTTACAGCAACGACAGGGCCATGTTGAATTTTTCTAGTCCAAGGACTAGTTTCTTTCATTCAGCAAATGTAACAGGGTAATGTAACATTCACCCTGTAACAGGGTGCTATGTCACAGCTCACATTACTCACTCAATGCCTACTCACGGCTTTCTAAGTCCCCACACTTTCTTCCTCCTCCTCCTCCTCCTCCTTTCTTCTTCTTGCCAGTCCTTAGGGCCTGGGCCCTGTCCCTGAGCTTCTTTTTGCTCAAGGCTAGGACTCTACACTTGAGCCACAGTGCCACTTCCAGCTCTTTCTGTTTATGTTGTACTGAGGAATCGAACCTAGGGCTTCATGCATGCTAGGCAAGCACTCTACCACTTAGCCACATTCCCAGCCCTTAAGTCCCCACTGAACATTGGTTCTGGAGCTTTGCTGGAACTGTGGTTCGCTTGCAATGCGTCCCACCTTTCATCTTAATAAACTTTAAAAAGGTGAAGATTATGGTCTTATTAAAGAACAATCTTTTTAAAACAAGTCTCGCCTTAAGATGTTATTTTCCCTACCTGATTCCCAGTAACTGTGAGCAATTAGCATTCACATGGATCATTTAACTGATAAAATTATAAGAATTTTTAAGGAATCACTATGCTTTTTTCTTTGGCAGTACTGGTTTTGAACTCAGAGCATTCTCCTTGCAATGCAGATGCTCTATCACTTGGGTCATACCCATCCTTCACTGCTTTTGCTATTCTTAGGATAGGGCCTCATATTTATGTCCATAAGACCACTGTTCCCACGTGGCTAGGATGGCAGGTTCATGCGACCATGCCAATCTTTTATTGATTGATATGGAATCCTATTTTTTTGCTGGCTGGCCTCAAATCCTGGTCTTCTTTATCTCTGCCTCCTGAGTAGCTAGGATTACCACTAAGTAGCCAAGTCTTACCACTATCCACAGTGGTAATCATTGGTTACTGGAGACATGGGTTCATATTTTGTTCTTACCTTTCTCTGTGCAGTGTGCGTGTGTGTGTGTGTGTGTGTGTGTGTGTGGTTTAACATGCAAACAGAGGAAATATACATTATTTGCTTATTTTGGTGTCTTCTTGGGTAATTCCAGGTCCACTGAACTAGGAAACATAAGCCCTGTGGTCCTCCATGGGTTTGTACAATGATCATTTGTATGCTCTTAATATCAGCTATGAGGAAAAAAAAATGATCCTGTGTGATCTAGTTTCATCCTGCTGTTACTGGTGTGTGATGCCCATAATTCACTGAGGTGTAATCAAGGAACTTGGATTGAAATTAGTCCTACATACTTTTGGGGGGAGGGGCAGGGGCTTGGACTCTGGGCTTGGGCACTGTCAGCTCTTCAGCTCAAGGCAAGGGCTCTACCACTTGAGCCACAGCACTACTTCTGGTTTCTGGTGGTTTACTGAACATAAGAGTTTCACAGGCTTTCCTGCGCGGGCTGGCTTTGAACCATGATCCTCAGCTCTCAGCCTCCTGAGTAGCTAGGATTACAGGTATGATCCACTGGCACCCAGCTTATATACTTTTAAAAATAATTGTTCTTGGATATGAGGAACAGTAATTAATACCTGACGGTACCCAAATCCACCGGTGCTCAGTTCCATTATATGAAATAATGCAGTGTTTTATAACCTATGTACACCCTCCTGAGTACTTTAAATTACCTCTAGATGACTTACCCAATACAAAATAAGTGTGCTTCTTAAATAGTTGTTATATACCATATTGTTTGAGAAATAATGACCAAAGAAAAAGGTCTGTATATGTACAGATACAATTCCTCCCCACTGTCTCCTTTCCTCCTACTTTGAGACAGGGTCTCATAGCCCAGTATACTCTGAATCTTCCAGTCTTGCCCTCTCCAGTGCTAAGATTTCAGGTTGGTACATGATCATCACACCTGGCTTCTCCTGCAATATTTTCTATCCGCTGTTGATTTGCAAGCATTGTGGCCTGTGGGCGCTGTAAATGCAATCCAAGGGTACAAAACCTGCAAGTATGGATGGAGAACCAAGTGGACTTGGTTTATTGAGCCGAGTATGACCTAACATGTACACTTTCTCCATGATGGCAATGCCTCATGATGGATACAATTACTCAAAAGTAGTCATGAAGCAGGGGGACACACCCCAGACACAGATAGCAGCAGTCCTTATGATGGATACAATTACTCAAAAGTAGTCATGAAGCAGGGGGACACACCCCAGACACAGATAGCAGCAGTCGTTTGTGTCAACTAGAGTGCACATTAGTGAGCCCTAGCACCACATGCCTGCCCACAGCATCTGATCCAAAGCTTACTGAATAATTCAGATCCCGAGAGGCTAAGCCACGCCAGGAAGGAAGCAGGCATCCTCCAGGCGCACTCCCATCACCAGCACAACTGCCTCTCACCCAAGCAAAAAAGACTACACCTCACGGGCTTCTCCTCACATTTCCTGCACCTGACACCAGGTGAACACTGACTTCTGCTTCTCAAACCTGAGCACTAAAGGAGAAAAGGTAGAGAGGAACATAGCACGTTGGTACAGCTCTAGCAAGTATAAGGCCCTGGGTTCCAAAACAAACAATAAGGGGGAGGGAGGAAGGAATTGACTCAAATGCCAAGCACACAAACGGAAGCATAATTAAAACTTTCTTCTTAGCCTTGAAGACACTATTTTGTACATTTTGCCTGCAGTGAATTTAATTGGGGGGAAAAGGTACAAGATCTGGAATGGTCCTCAAGATCATCTTCGCGGGCCTGAGGCTCTGGACAGGGCTGCGTTTCGAATGCAGGCTGCCTGCCATCGGAGCCCCGCGTACATTCCGAGAAAAGGCGCTTGGGGGAGCCAGGCAGGCCGCCCGAGGCACCGACCCTGGCCTCGGGGCCACCCCTGGCCGAGTCACCGGCCCACCCCCTCCGGTGTCCCCTGGGGAGGGAGGCGGCGTCTGCGTGGTGGCGAGGTGGGGGAGGAGGTCGGAGCGGAGGGGTGGGGAGCAGGGCGGGGGTGGGGGTTCGGGGGATACCGGGCCCGTGGTCACCTGTGGCCAGGAGTCCTGGTGCCGCACCCCGGCCGGCTCCGGGTCGCCCCCATCCCACTCTGGCCGCCTAATCCCTGGGCGGGGGGGGGGGGGCCTGTGTGCGTCACCTTCCGGCCCACCACTCACCCCGCGTCCGTCGCCGTCCGCTGCGGCCCCGGGACTCCGGCGGGGAACCCGAGCCGGGACAACCCGAGCCGGGACCGTGGGGGTCACGGCCCCGAGCGCCACGCCCCACTCTGGGGAGCCCAGGCCCCGCTCCCTGGGCCCGTGCGCCCCTCGGGCGCCCCGCGTCCCCGTCCCCGGCGTCCCCGCAGTTGGAGCCGCAACCGCCCCCCGCGCGCCGGAGCAGAAGGCACCACACACCTACCCTGGAGTCTCAGCCGGGCTGGAGCCAGAGACCGTGGAGTGTGAGCGTCCGAAGCGCCGCGGGCCTCAAATACGGACCGGGCCGAGCGGGCGGGGCAGGGCCGGGCCGGGGCGGGGCGGCCGGGCGGCGGGCGGAGTCCTGGGTTCGGTCTGCGAGGCCGGGCCCGAGCCCTCCCGGGGCTGCGGGGCGGGGATCGCGAGCCGCGAGGGCTGCCCCGGGACCCAGGTGAGCACAGGTGTGCCGCCGCCCTTTGACCGCAGTGCTCGCTCCCTTCCGGTCTACTTGTGTTCGCTAGCTTCATGCTCTGAAAAACTAGGGCGAGGAACACACAGAGGCCGGGATTTCTGGGTGTTTTCCATTGGGGGATGGGGAAGTCACGGAGCTACCCCACCAGCTTGTTTATTGTGCCCTTAGTGGGCATAAATGTGCCCTTCGTGCCCAAAAGAAATGGAAAGGCGAGGGGGAGAGGGAGAGAGGGAGGAGAGAGAAAGAAGAGTTTTAGCACCTGTACTGAAGGTAGATTGTCAAGACCTCATGAGTCCCTGGATTCTATGCCCAGCATCGGAAAGAAAAGGGCAGGGCAGGGTAGGGCAAAGTTCAGGTGATCACTGCCAGTGTCCTAAGAACAGGTTGTAAGATGATTATATGGAAGAGAATGTAAACGCCATCCACCGTGTGGCAGCAGCCCTGGAGAGCAAGAGCACTGGATTGGGGAAGAATGTTAAACAGACTTTTTTTTTTTTTTTGCAAAAAAAGATGAATTTATTGGAAGGGATCTAGAGAATAACATAAAATATGACGAAGAATTTAATTCTTTTTAAAATATATTTCATTGTAAACATACTGTAGAGGGGTTACAGTTACATGAGTAAGGTTATGAATACATTTACTATCAAGCATTGTTACCCCCTCCTTTGTTTTCCCCCACCATCCCTTTTCTCCCTACCCCCTACTCCTCCCCCCACCCCCAAATTGTAAAGTTCGCTTTCAACATAATGTCTTGTACATCTCATTGTTACAATGGGTCAACCTGTATCTTTGTTTCAGGATTTTGTTATTTCCCTTCCCCTCCCCAAATTAGAAATATGTGTATACAAGATACAGGGTACCAGAATCAAATACAGTGAAAACAGGGATTATACCATGGGGGACAAACATACAAAAGAAACAAAAAAAATCACATAGTACATTATAAGTACATTAAAAACAACAGCAACAAAGATAAAACCTTTTGTGTTCCTATCTTGGGGTTCATTTTGCTTAACATCATCTTATATGGTCATATGTACATAGCTTTTGACCTTTTCTGTTTGTCTGGTAAGCTTATCCTAGACATATACTAGCTATTGCAAATAAGGAAAACCATGGGACCTATATTTCTTTGGACCTGGCTTACTTGACTTAATAGAATTTTTTCCAAGTCTTTCCATTTCCTAATAAATGAGGAGGTGTCATTCTTTCTGGTGGAGGCATAGAATTCCATTGTGTGTGTATACAATATGTATATACATATACATTTTATTGATCCATTCATCTACTGAAGGGCATCTGGGTTAGTTCCATATCTTAGCTATGGTGAATAATGCTGCAATAAACATATTTGTGCTGGTAGCTTTAGTGTGGCCTTGTTTGTGATGGTTTGGGTAAATACCCAGAAGTGGGATTGCTGGGTTATAGGGGAGCTCTTTGTGTAGTCTTTTGAGGAACCTCCATACTGCTTTCCAAAGTGGTTGAACAAGTTTACACTCCCACCAACAATGTAGTAGGATTTCCTTTTGATTACATCCCCTTCAGTTAGATTTCTTGATTATAGCCATTGCTGGAGGAATATCAATACCAAATTTCAAACTCTACTACCAAGCCATAGTAATCAAAACAGCTTGGTACTGGCACAAGAACAGACCTGAGGACCAATGGAATAGAACTGAAGATCCAGAACTGAACCCACAGACCTATAGCCACCTAAACTTCGATAAGGGAGGTAAAAAAAAATAGAATGGAAGAAAGACAGCCTCTTCAGTAAATGGTGCTGGCAAAACTGGTTAATCACCTGTAGAAAACTAAAGTCAGATCCTTATATATCACCCTGCACCAGAATCAACTCCAAATGGGTCAAAGACCTTGAAGTCAAAGCAGACACCCTGAAAACATTACAGAAAGGAGTAGGAGAAACTCCTAGGACTCCTTGACACAAGCCGAAATTTTCTTAATAAAGACCCAGAAACACAACAAATCAAAGGATGGACAAATGGGATTGCATGAAATTGCAGAGCTTCTGCATGGCAAAGGGCATAGCAAGATCAATAGAAAGCCCATGGATTGGGAGAGGATCTTCCCTAGCAATACAATGGACAAGGGTCTCATATCTAAAATATACTTAGAACTCAAAAAAATAAATCCCCCAACAACAAATCCTCAAAGAAACAACTGCCTAATTAATAAGACTTTAAGAGAGACTTCTCTGAAGAGGAAATAAGAATGGCCAATAGACACATGAAAAAAATGCTCAACTTCTCTAGCCATAATAGACAGCCTTAAAAGTAGTATCCGTTTTGGGGGCTGGGAATGTGGCTTAGTGGTAGAGTGCTTGCCTAGCATGCATGAAGCCCTGGGTTTAATTCTTCAGTACCACATAAACAGAAAAAGCTGGAAGTGGCACTGTGGCTCAAGTGGTAGAGTACTAACCTTGAGCAAAAGAAGCTCAGGGACAGGGCCCAGGCCCTGAGTTCAAGCCCCAGGACTGGTACATACACAAACATACGTATATGTGTATGTGTGTATATATGTATACATATATATATATATCAGTTTTGGAAAGCTCAGACAGCTTTCTGCCTGCTCAATCCTTGCCCTTGGACAAGGTTTCTCAGTAATTGAGTCATCTTAAATTAGGGACATTAAGGCACGAGAACATTTGTGGGGCAGGGTAGAGGGCAGATTCCAAAGTGAACTAAGAGCCTAGAGCTAAGAATAAGCTATCATAAGCATCCTACTGCTAAATAACTTGAAATTCTCACCTCTCTTCATTATGCAGAAGCAGCTAATCATAGTTTTAACCTTACATCCACAAATCCTGAGTAAACATTGAAAGAAAAATATCCTGTATAATTGATCCTTAAACAAAAAGGAGACCTCAGTAAAGGGGACTAAAGATGAGCTTTAGTAACCTGGTGCCAATGGCTCTTGCCTGTGTAATCCCAGCTACTTAGTGGAGACCTGAGGATTACAGTTGGAAGCCAGTCTGCAGGAAAATTCATGAGACTCCAATTAATCACCAAAAAAACAGCTGGAAGTAGAGCTGTGAAAGAGCACCAGCCTTGTTCAGAAAAAGCTAAGGGACAGCACCCAGGCACTGAATTCAAGCCCCAGTATGGGTGGTGGGGTGGGAAATAGGTTTTTCTGCCCTAAAGAAACATCTTCTAGCCAGATAGGTGGCTCATACCACTAGCTACTCAGGAGACTGAGATGTGATTATTAGGGTTCAAAGTCAACCCAGGAAGCAAAGTACATGAGACTCTTATCTCTAACCACCAAAACTCTAGTGGCTCAAGTGGTAGAGTACTAGCCTTAAGCAAAAAAAAAAAAAAAAGCTTGGGGACAATGTTCAGGCCCTGAGTTCAAGCCACAGGACAGGCACCAAAAAGAAAAGGGAGCTGGGGGGAAAGGAGAGAAAAAGAAAAAAGAAACATCTTCTAAAAGGAAGTACTTGGAAAATTCTCAAGCATCAATTCCTTATGTCAATTGAGGAGACTTGGTATTTGGAAGCTTCAAATTTATTAGATCCAAGACCTTAGACCCAATGAGAAGAGAGTTGTCACAGCAAATGAATAATGCCAGATGCTGAAAAGAAGGTGCATGTGATCTAACAGCTGAAAACTGACTTGAGACTTATAGTGGCATTCCATAAAGGATTGAGTGCACATTACATTTCTGTATATATGTATAATTCTAATTCTGCCTTTCTAGCATCCTATTTTTTATCCTTGCTGCCATATGCTTTGCTTCCTGCTTTAATAAAACTTCCTGCTGGGTGACAGTGGCTCATGCCTGTAATCCTCCCTATGCAGGAGGCTGAGATCTGAGAATCTCCTTGGTAGAAATGTCCATGAGACTCTTATCTCCAATAAACTACTCAGAAAAAGCTGTGCTCAAGTGGTAGAGCACAACAAGGCTCAGGGATAGTGCCCAGGCCCTGAGTTCAAGCCCCAGAATCAGCAAAAAATAAAAATAAAACTTCCATAAACTCCATACCTACCCACCTTCATGTTTTAATTCCTTTTTGTGATGTCACCAGTTCAGTGAGCATCAGTGTCATGACCATGCTCCTCCCCCGCCCCCCACTGCCACAAGCTAAGTGCCCTGAGTTGAGGTTCATGCCCTCTGGGAACCTGTCTGGGTTTGACTCTGCCCCAGTTCCAGGGGGGTGGTGGCTCCCATAACATTTGATTGTGGCTCATATGGGAATTTGAATGAGTCCAGTGACACATGGGCGATGTTGCCACTTGAGGCAGGTACTTCTTGCTTGCAGAGGCTAATGTGGCATTATGTAGCACTTAATGTATCCCTGGCTCCTCTAGTAGATGGCTGGAGCAAACCAGCCTCTACCTCAGTTTTAATTTTGGAGGTAATGAGACCCTTATTCTCTACAATCCTTTCCACCCCAATTTTGTTAGCTGCAAACTTACTCTCCCTTTGCAAAAAGAAAATCCCCTTCACAAAATAATTCTTCTTTTGCAAAATTAATCAGTGTATGTAAAAATTGCGTGTCTGTCTGTAGGTATGTATGTATAATTCTAATTCTGCCTTTCTTACCAAAATAGAATTCTATTATTTATCCATAGTTCTACAATGTACTTTTTTCATTAATATGTTTTTGTATATCCCTCTGATTTAGTACATAGATATCTTCAGCATTCTTTTTCTTGGCTGCACAGTATTCCTTTGTGTGCCATTTAGATTGATTTCTATCTTACTTACAAATAATGCCGCCATGGATAACTCCTCAAATTGTAGTGCACATTCAAATCATCCAGACATGGTGCCAGTTTAGTAGCTCCTGAGGTTGAGCATTTCTAGTAAGTTTCCCTGT